CTGCAGTGTCCTTGACAGCACGAGCTGCAGACTCTGCTCCTGGCGGGGGGACAAAGGCCTGTTTCAGAGCTTTGCTGACTCCACCCGGCCAGGACCAGAGCTCACAGGGCACAGCCAGGCCCTGGAGGGAGGAGCCGGGCCAGTGGGGCTCTGTCTCACTCTGGTCCTGCGGGGGGTCAAGAAGGGAGGTTACTGTTAGAAAAGCAAGACCACAGTCCTTTTTCTGGGCCTGCAGCCAGCAAAGCGCAGCCCTGGGGGTCAGAGCACCTGCTCGCATTTTAAGGGCGCTCAGCCACTCCCATTCATGTTGTCCGCACCCGCTTTGCTGTAGAGCCACAGCGCTGACCAGTCGAGGTGAGATCTTACTGCCTCTTATGCCTAAAATCCTGACTCTCGGGCCTTTTACAGACATCTGCTTGCCCTGGGTCTAGAGTGATCTGCCCGTTGACACTTGGGCCCGGAAAGAAAAGGGATTCACTGTAAGATATGGGGCAGGACCCCAAAGCTGTGAGGAGCTAGAGACCTCCCCCTAGACCCTGGCGCTCCCGGGGCCACACCCCTCCCGGCCCGAAGTGTGCACTTCTCACCCCTGCTCTGCTTTGCCCCCATCACGGGGGCACATTGCTGACAGTGGAAACCAGCTCAGTCAGTCCCGGGCGGGGCCCCCTCTGCCAAGACCCGAGAGCGCGGCTCTTCCTTCGCGAGCCCCCGCAACCACATCCTCCACCACGGGATGGGGTACACATCACTCACGGCTGGAGAGGTTTGAGGGGTCACAGCCGGGAAGCAGCGTGCCAGCGGCCAGCCCACGGGGAGGACCAGGCGCAAAAGCCAAGCACGAGCAGGTCTGCGGGCAGAATGCAGTGGAGACCTAAGGAAGGCAACCTTCCCGAGAACCTCACAGAAACCCAGGCGCAGTGTGCTTCCTGGGTTCCGCCGTGCTCTGGAGTGTTCGCGCGGATGCTGCAAGGATTCCTACGCGCTACTGGGCGGTGGCCCTTCTAATGGCCCTTGTCAGGGACCCCCTCCCCTGCCCCCCTCGCCTGGCCTCTCCCTGAGCCTGCGCTTCGCCTTCTCTGTAAGGGTTTCATCCCCTTGAGCTGGGTGGGATCCTCCCTGTGCACCTCTGGCCCAGCTCTCAGGGGCCCCCGACGGGCTTGGGGGTTCATCCACTTCTGCAAATCCCCTGTCATGTGCCGGGCACTGCTCCAGACACTGAAGGTGCAGCAGCGATACAGACGGACAGGTCCCTGCCCTCCCTGGGGAGCTGGGCAGCCAACCAGTGAGCACTATGGGGGACTAGTGCGACGGCCAGGCCGCTGCTCCCCAGCTCCCAGCAGCAAGCCGGCGTCTGAGTTTCCCGCAGATGCCAGAGCAAATGTCTGCAAACCGGGCGGCTTACGACAGAAATCTACTCCAGTTTTCATGCTGGCTGGGGCTGTGCTCCCTCCGGAGGCTGCCCAGGAGCCTCCATCCTGCGTCTCCCAGCTCCTGGGGGCCCCAGGCCTTCCTAGCAGCTGCCTGCTCTCCAGCCTGCCCCCGTGGTCATGTGGCCTTAGAAAGACACTTGTCACTGGTTCAGAGCCACTCCGGCCTCCTCTTAAGGCCCTTCCCTATATCCACAAGTACTCTTTCTCTCAGCGAGGCCACATGTGCAGTCTCTGGGGGTTAGGTTGTGGCCATTTACTAGTCACCTATTCAACCTGCTGCTCTGGATGCATAGTCCCTTATGCTCAGTCGAGGGAGGTGGCCCCGAGCAAGTTCACCGTCTCTCGGCCTCCTTCCCTGTGTGACCTGCTCCTCTCTCCACCTTTCTGGTCCGCAGACTTAGATGCCAGGGTGTGACCAGAGGTCTCCTTCCAGCGGGGTCACGTGGAAACATTTCCCATCCATCAGGAGATTCCCTGAGTGATGCTTGGGCTGTAAGAGCGGTGGTCCTGGGCTGTCAGCGGGACCCCGGCCTGGGAGGCTCTCCCCCCGAGCCCCACACGTGGGACCCTCAGTCCACGGGCCTCGCCCTCGGCCCCTCTGTGCCGCCTGGTTCAGGCCTGCTCACTGCAGAGGGCTGCAGATGTCATTGACCCCCGTGTGCTTCTAAAAGCAGTCACGCCTTGAACGTATTTCTAGCAGGTGTTTCATGAGGCTGTTAGGACTGGTTATGCATGATGGGGTCGCAGGAAGCATGCAGTCCAGACTTGAGCAAAGAGGCCACACCTGTTCGCTTGGCCTTGGGCCCCTTGTGGGTCAGGGAGCAGCACCTGGGGGCCAGGGGAGGAGGCTTCTGAGCCCCCCTGCCCCCACTGCGCTGCCTTCCCAGGGATGCACAGTCTTCCCATCTTGGTGAACAGATTTTCACAAGCGTCGGCCTCTGTCTCCACAAGCCAGACACTGAGTAAATGTGGGGGGCCGGTGACTCACGGCGGTCATAAACAGAACAACAGTCGTGGTTGGGTGCATAAGAGTTTTGGTTTTGGTGGACACAGAGTGATTGGAGCTCAGATGTCACACCTCTGATCCTTCTCTGTTGAGCTGCATTCTAGAACATCCCGAGGTGGGAAAAGGAAGAGGGCTTGGATGTTGAGTGGGTCGGGAGGGTAGGTTATGGGCAGAAACAGACCACTGGAAAGTCTCAGAAGCTTGAAACAATTCAGGTATCTTTTGTAGCAGGTCCCCTGGGGCACAGGTCCCCCCTGCAGAGGGGAAGGTGTCATGGCGCACCTCGTGCTGACTCTCAAAGCTTTTCAGCCTGGGGGTGGGGGGGAACGCCTGGCACCTGTCACTTCTGCCCGCCATTCTTCGGAAAAAGCAATCAGGACGCGGCTGCCCTGAGTTCCGTGGTGCCCGTGGACAGGTCCCCCTACCCTGCCCCAGAAGGGAAGCTGGAGTGGTTGGCAAGGTGTTTCCACCTTATCCCACAGACTCCTGCTCCCCCAGAAGTCGCAGCCCGATGAAACACGGTGCAAACATGTGTCCCCTAATATGTGATGCACCGGGTCTCCAAGCCCAGCTGGGTTCCCTGAGGCCTGGGCATTTATTTCCACGTCCCCAAGCTTCCTTGGACTTTTGTGGCCTGAGTTTGGCAGAGAGGACTTAGTTCCCCCGAGCCGAAGCATCAGACGGGTGCTGTGCTCACGTGTCTGACATTTCATAAACGGCCGCACCTTTTCCCCAGACACCATTTTAAGGTTGGGGGAGAAGTTGAAGCCGTTCCCAAGCAGGAATATGTAGGCGCTTAGCCCCTGAAGGATGGAGATGGAATTAGCAGCACAGAAGTCTCAGCTGTTTATTACTGTTCAGTCTCATTTTTTATGATTTAATCACTTCTTATTGTCCCAGAAAATGGCAGTTTCCTGGGAAACCAGCCCAGGCTCCTTTCTCCTCTATATTTTTATGTGATTCTAAGTTTCTGGTTAATGAGATGTTTCCAGAAGCAGTATTTGAGCGTGAGCACACAGACTCTCCTCAGTGCTTCTGGTCACTCAGCTTCAACATTTTTTTGTGTTGTTTTAGAAACTCTCCTGCTTGCAAAAGTCACAAAATGCCCCTTTATTGAGGCTGCGTCTGGGAGGAGGAGGGAGGGCTGATGGCAGGTGAGTCTCAATCAGTATTTTCCAGATAACAAAAAGCAGTAATGTCCTTGATATTCACTGAGCTCTGTGATGTGTCGAGCAGTGAGCAAGGGGCTTGGACTCCTGTAGTTTTCACAGTACGACTGTGTTAGAACTGTTGGCCCATTTTACAGATGAAGAAAGAGAGGCACGAAGAGCTAGGGAACTTCCCCTTGATTGCACGGGGAAGAGGTGGCAGAGCTGGGATTTGAACCCCAGGCTCTGATTCCAGGGCCCACACACAGATGCAGAGGGAGGAGAGGGCATTTCAGCTACAGGGGACAGGCTGGGTAGAGCCCCCACGCAGGACTGGGGACACCAGAGACCAGGGTGTCACTGTCAGCGAGGAAAGCAACTTTAGGGCCCAGGGACCAGTTGGATTCAAAGCTGGAGAGGTGGAGAGGGGCTGTGCTGGGCCTTGAACGCTACAACAATGGGATTGGATTTGCTATTGTAGACAATAAGCAATGGCTGGGAACGTAGATTTACTACTTGCTGCTGAGCCATCCTGGGCAAGTTGCTTACCCTCTCTGGGCTCTAGAGTATCTGCCAGGGATACTTTCTTTGCAAGCAACAGAATTCCGGATCCTAATAGAAAATGGATTTATTGACTCCCATGTTTAATTGTACAAGGCTCATGGCTTCCTGCACATCCCGATTCAGGATTCAAACGGCATTGCCGGGTCTCTTCCTCCGCTCCGTCTTTGGGGGTGTCTGCCCTAGCTGTGGGCTCCAGTTTTCCCTTGTCCCAGCAACACGAACACGCTCCTCTTTTGCACACCACCCAGTCCAGCAGAGAGGACACAGCTACTCCCAGCATGTCCTGCGTCTCAAGCCTGGAATCCCTGTGCCGGCACCTGCGAGGCCACGTGCTCAGCCCTCCTGTTGATTGTGAGTGGAGTGGAAGGCACAGATGAGGGCAGAGAACCCAGAAAGGCAGAGAACCTTTTCCCCAAAGGAGAGTCTTGATGCCATGGACAGAAGGGCAGTGGGTGCCGGTGGGTGGGGTTCCCCGCACACTCAGCACCAGGTACAAAGCATCAGTGACAGGGAGAACTGAAATTGTTCACCAGGAGCCCCACACGTGCTAGGCCCCCAAATGCTCCTTGCCTTCTGCTCGGCACCTGGTGTGGGGGGAGGAGAGGAGGCTGGGAAGCTGGTGGGTGCTGGCTGGGGAGAAGGCATAGGTCGGGGGGGAGGCTGCAGGGACAGTGAATGGCATCCAGAGCGGGCAGCCTGCGGGCAGTTGGACATGCCGGTCTGTAGCTTGGAAACCGTCTGGGGCTTTGTCCAGGGGTCTCGGGGATGGAGATGTGGCTCAGACGCAGGGTAGGTGGGAAGGCAGAGCAGCGAGGGTGCCCTGCCTTCTCTGCCCTTTCCTTGATGGGCCAGACATCGTGGACATCAAGCCAGCCAATATGGAGGACCTCACGGAAGTGATCACGGCGTCTGAGTTTCACCCCCACCACTGCAACCTCTTTGTCTATAGCAGCAGCAAGGGCTCCCTGCGTCTCTGCGATATGCGCGCAGCTGCTCTGTGTGACAAGCACTCCAAACGTAAGTGTCCACACCAGCTGGGACCCGGTACAGAGTGGGGGTGGCAGGACAGTGCCCGTCCTGGGGCTGGTGCCCCGGGGAGGGTGGGAGGGGCGTAGGCGTCTCCTGCACTGGCTGGGGCAGGGGGAAGCTGATCTTGCCACCCACTGCCCCCCTGAGTCCCCAGATAGGAGCTGCCCAGCATCCAGGAACCAGGCTGCTAAAACAAGGGTCCAGGAGTAAGCTGGGAGCCAGAAACTGAGGAGGGACCATACTTAGTGGTCACGTCCTCCAGGAAGCCTTCCCTGACCTCCACGTTGGTTCAGGCCCTTTCTCTGTGCCCCTGGAGTCCCCAGAGCTTCCTTCTCTCAGACTGGCCACACCCTGAAGAATTTTCTGTGGGCTGGGGCATCTCCCCCAGCAGCTTGTGAGCTCCATGAGGTCACTTCCTCATGCTGGAACCCGCCTCAGGGCCAGCCAGGGAGGGGGATGCCTGAGCGAGGTCCAGGGAACATGACAGGACAACTTCCATTGTCCTCACTGGACATGCTGAGCCAGGCACCCAGACAGCTGTCACCCACATCGTCTCATCCCCACACGAGCACTGACGGAGTGCTACACAAAACAGGAAGCTGAGGCTCCAGGGTTGGGTCCAATGTCACCCAGAGTGACAAGTGGTGAGGCAGAACTTGAACCCAGGACTCTCCAGGCTGAGCTGCTTTGTGCTGGGTTTCCCAGAGGCCTTTGAAGGCAGAGGATCAAGGGGTCAGGCCAGGGTGTCCTCCCTGAGTGAACTTGCAGTGGCAGCAGGGGACAGGGACAGACAGGACTCCAGTCAGAAGGGTGGGGACTTTGGTTCTTCTCTGTCTCTACCCCAGAGCCTGCAACAGTATCTGGAAATAAGCATGTGTTGGTGAATGAATGAATGAATGAATGAATAAGTGACCAGTGGGCCCCTGGAGGCAGTTTTAGCAAGGTCTGTTGGGAGGGACTGGCTTACTCTTCTCCCCTCGGGAGCCTGGTTTCCTTGGGCAGCCCAAGAGGGTGGCTGTTGGCTGGCTCACAGGGGCTCGAGCTCAGGACCCTTGGCGGCTGCTGGCCCTTCCCCACTCCTTGACCAAGCCTGGTCCCCCTACATCTCCCCACATTGCTCTTCTCTAGGCAAGCCCATTTCCGCTGCTGTCCCTCTCCAGGCCTTCCCCACTGGTTTCCTCACTGGGCGGGACATCCCTTTGCGCAGTTTGCACTTGCAAATTCAGAAGGCTGAGAGGCCAGCCCGGAGGGTGGGAGAGCAGATGGTCCTCTGAGTAGAGCCGGGACACCACCTGCTATGCTCCAGATGTTTCCTGCCATGGTGGGTGTAGCAAGAGCTAGCAGACAGGCGATGAACTCGTCACTGGGTCGTGTCATGTCAGGAGGTGGTGACAGATAGCAACAACACTCACCGAGGAGTAGGGCGCAGGGAGAAGTTAAAATGGAACGGACACCCCGAGGTGCCATTGAGCCATGCAGTCTCTGGGGGGAAGACTGTTCTAGAAGGGGGACACTGCAGGCTCTGAGGTGGGACCTGAGGTGCAGTGACCAAGGGGAAGGATGTCGAGAGCTGAGGTCAGAGAGGCACGCGAGGTGGGTGACTTAGAAAGCCCGTAGGGCAGGGGAAGGATCCCGTTTGATTCTAAGTGAGGTCAGACAACTGTGGAGGGTTGAGGGCAGGGCAGGATCTCGTGAGATGTGTGTTTGAGAAGAACAGACTACAGAGGTGGTCAGCGTGGAAACGGGTGGGAGGAGCCCCACCCCAAGGTTCATTGAGAAGAAACAGTACACCCCGGGTGGGATGGCCAAGGCGAGGAGTCAGCCCCAATTCTGGGAACTGTTCTTTGAGTGGCAGCCTGTGCCAAATGGTGTGTGGACCATGATGACTCCATCTGAGGTTTTGTTTGTGTGGTGGGTGAAGGTGGGGTCCTTTCCTGGGACGGACAACGGGCTTGCAGGGAGCAGGGCAGCCAGGAGCAGAGATGGGACCAAAGGGCCAGTGTTGGACATGTATGTGGGAGATCGTGCTGGGCTCCAGGGAGGGTGAGTCCCAGCTGGAGATAAAGGTGCGGAGCTGTCAGTGTTTGGATGGACAGGAAGCCCAGGTGTGCGTGTGGATGGCGCCCAGCCCCCAAGGGGCAGCCCAGGGCTCTATTGGGGTCCCAGGGCTGCCCAAACAGATCACCACAGACTTATGGCTTAACAGGACACAGGTATTTTGTCTCTTACAGTTTTGCAGTTCGGAAGTCTGATATTGGTCTGAGCTGACAAAAATCAAGGTGTCGACAGGGCTGGTCCCTTCTGGAGGCTCTGGCGAGGAGGAATCCATGCCTCCCCTTCTCCGGCTTCTGCCTCCCCTTCCCCTTTTAAGGACCCTGAGGATTCCATTGGGCCCACCTGGAACATTTGGCTGATCAGTGATCTTAGTTTCCCCTTTGCCACATAACAGAACATATTCCCAGGTGCTGTGGATTAGGGGGCAGAACACCCTGGGGGCCATTATTCTGTGCCTCGGGCCACAGGTGGCCTGGAGACTTATCTGTGTGCAGCTCTGGGTCCGACTGGCACAGACCGAGGTTGGGGAAGAGTCTGGGCTCCACTGAGCCCATGCAAGCCCCACGGGAAGGATGCAGGATGAGACTTTGAGGCCAGCCTTTCTTTCTTTTTTTTTTTTTAAGATTTTATTTATTTATTTGACAGAGAGATTACAAGTAGGCAGAGAGGCAGGAAGAGAGAGAGGGGGAAGCAGGCTCCCTGCCGAGCAGAGAGCCCAATGTGGGGCTCGATCCCTGGACCCTGAGATCATGACCTGAGCCGAAGGCAGAGGCTTAACCCACTGAGCCACCCAGGCCTCCCAGGCCAGCCTTTCTTATAGGGGCCAAATTCAGAAGCATTCTAGAAGTCCAGCAGAGCAAATGACAAGTGAATGATAATGCCGTCTGTATACTCCAGTGTCGTTCAGTCATTTAGAATCTTAATTCAGAAGATTTTCAATGACATGAGGAAATGATTATGTTAAAATGTCTGATGGGGGTAAGAAAGTAAGGCAAAGACTATCCCCACCCCCCAAAAAAACTGAAACAGAAAAAGGGAGAAAGAAATAATGCCAAGAGATAGTCCCTGAGTGGTGGGCGCTGGAAAGTGATAATCGTGTTTTCTACATCTGTCTGGTTTTGCATTTTAGTTTGGATTTCAACTCTGAATCAGGAAGCAGGTGTGTGTGCGGGAAGGCTGGTGGTATCTGGGGAGTAGAGAGTAGAGAGACAGCTTCGTGCACCCCACACTGAATGACGTTTCTCGGGCGGGCTGGTGGTGGGAAGTCAGTCCCTCTTGGCTTTCGTCATCCGGCTCCCCAGGGGTCTGAGTATGTGGCCACCCACAAGGCCAGCCGTCACTACTGTGATGGCACACACGGGCGGATTCCGGGCCTGTAGCTGTCACATGCCTGGGGTTGGGGGTGGTATGTGTCTGCAGCGCGTGTGAATCAGCCCACGAACTCCAGAGTGCGAGAACTCGAATTTCATCTTGGATGACTCAGCTCCATTTGTGTTTCTCGCCTCCTCTCCCAGGGCCGCTGGGAACATACCAACTTCAGAGTTGCCCAGAGAGCCCACGGAGGTTCCAGAAAGCTTTTGCAGGGCCCAGGCATGAAGGGAGGGTCACCGTGGCTTCTGACCACCATGATCTCTTCCTTTCCCTGATCGGCCCCAGGCGCCGGGCTGTGGCCCAGACATTTTTTGCTTAAATGCAAAAATTCTGTTTTGTGCATGAACATTCATAAGTGAAGTTGGAAGTTGGTCTTCAACTGTCTTTTTTTTTTTTTTTGGCACTCTCTTTGCCCAATTTTATTAGGATTCTTCTACTCTTGTCAAACGAGCTAGGCCACGCTCCCTCTTTGACCGGAATGGTTAGTTTAACCTCTAACTTGAAGTCTTAGTGAAACTCGTGTGTAGATCGGTTTTGGTGGTTGGTTTATACAGGTTTACTCAGTGGAATAGATGTTGTATTTTAAATTTTTTCTGGAACTTTTCTTCATTCTCCAACTCGATATTGTGTGCCGACACCTGCCTTTAACGCTGGTAGAGGGATCGCTCTCAGCCTTTTCCCGCCAAGTGCGCCTTCTGGCTTGTTTTCCTGCTTTCGTGCACTTGCCGTTGGTAGCAAGTGGATGGGGTGTCAGCTTCACTGGGATGGGATCCCGCCAGCTCTTAGCCCTCCCGGGGAGTCAGGCAGGCAGCCACAGCCAGTTAGCAGGAGGCCGGTATGGCTGTTTCAGATCAGAACACAAATGGTTGTTGTTCAAACCGACTCTTTAAAGAGCCCCAGAGATTAGATTTCTTCCTTAATATCTTGTGTCGGTTGGTTGATCTGGGGGCCCCAGACTCAGGCGTGGCGGGCAGGGGCCCCTGGATGAGGTCATCCTCCTAACAGCTAAACCCGGGACTCTCCATTCACTGGATGAAGAGTGTCCTGGGCCACAAGTGGGTGTTTATTTCTGCCCTGGGACAGGTAAGGAAACTGAGGCACAGCACGGTGTGGTGGCTTCCCCGGGTGCTCTGTCAGGAGCGGAGCTGGGGTGCTTGGGCCACGCGGCTGCCCAGCCCACAGCCTCACTGTCTTCCTCCGAAGCTGTGGAAATTCGCGTCTTTTGTCTACTAGTCATTATGACAGGGTAACCATGGAAACATCCTCCGTGATGCCTCAAAATAGACAGTTATTTCTGCTTTTGGCGGCACAGAGCAGTGTGCTGGGCTGGGGCCCCGGGGTTTGCTAGAACAGGGCATCATGTCAGCCGCTGCCCCTCGTGGGACCCCTGGGATGTGCTGGCTGGGAGCCAGGGCAGCAGCAGCCTGGCTGATGTGTGGGCCGCTAGCTACGAGCCGGGCACTGCTGTTCTGAGATCGCGTGTCCATAAATCCTCTGAGCTGCCCAGTGATGGAGGCACTTGGCTGTTCACCCACAGACCTGGACACAGAGCACACAGCTGG